ATTATTATTATTATTATTATTATTATTTTCCACTAGTAAATTTATACAGACATTCTGTTCAGAGCTGCTATATATTATTGTTCATCATAAAGTGGTATTTCAAAAAGGAAATGAAAGTATGATTCTAATACAATGATATTGTCCTGATGATTGCACTGTAGTAATAAAAATTATAAGTGGACAGTAATTTTCCATGATCTTAGTATTTTTAAAGCAACTTTTTGTYTTGCTAGTATATTTTGTAATTCTGGTGTTTTACAATATTGGTTTGGGTTTGGAAACCTGCCAGTTTCACAAAAGACCTTTTTCCCCATTCCTTGACACTTTTTTTGCATTCACTTATAGCCCTGAGCAGAGCAGTTTGGATTCGTGCTAGATGGTTTTCGTATTTGGTTTTGTAAAAGTGGGAGCTCATGTTTTTTGATAACTTATTTCGCAACTTCTCAAGCTCACAGATTTCAGGTAAGTCACCAAGAACTATTTGAAGTGCTTTAGTGGTCTTTGATGTGTGTTGTTGTTCTGATGACTTGTTTTGTTGGCTTTTACTCTCTACCTCAGGACCATTTTCATTCCTTTCGGTACCAGTAGTTTTGCTATCAAATTAAATACTTATAGTCTCTGGTCCTTCATTTGTCTCTACAATCAATACAAATAGTAATTTTAGAAAATTCATACAATAATTTAAGGCTAACTTTAATGATCATTGGTACAGTTCATACAAGTAATGTTAAAATCTATTCATTTTGATTTATAATTAAGTTAAAGAAAAACCAAACCGTAATCAGTACCTGATAGATCTTTAGGTCTCTCATCCATTTCCACGCTTTGATCTTGCACAGGAGGAACTCTAGAATTTAAGCGACCTTAAAGCTTACCGAATTTTTGTTTATTGAAGTATTTAATGAAACATTAAGTTATTTCTTAAAGATATAAAATGAACATTTAGGTGACTTTTAATAAGTAACTTAAAGGTTCTTGATGAACCATTTAGGAAGGACCTTAATTGTTATATTAAAGGTTTATTTTTAAGGCCTTTTAGTTTGCTATTAAAGTATCGATAAGCCGAGATTTACTGATTCTTATTGGTAACCTAAAGTCAGTTTAAAACCGGTTTTAAGTAAACTTTAAGACTAATCAAATAGGTTGGATTTTAAGCTATCAAAGCCTTTAATTCACCTTTAAGACTTACAGAAACCCCTAAAGTTTCAGTTTATAATAATAACAATGATATGATGATGTTGATGATAGAACAAGAAGTAATAACTGTTATCCATATCATTTATTCACGTCTAATATACATTACAAGTTTTTTATTTGTTTTATTTTCTCTTAGTCGGATGAGCATAGAACTAAGGAAGCTAACACATTCATTTCAAATACCAGGTTTATTAATTCATTTTGTCAAGCATTTTAATATACACACATATAAAGTGTTATATAATCATCTGATAACTACTGACATTAATCATATAATATATGAATACCATGGTCCGTAAAAAATATAAATTAAAAAATGATAGATAATGAAATAGAAATAAATGGAGTGAAATACATATAAAATTCGGGCTGATGTAGATGGGATTTATGATTAAATTTTGAGAGCCCATTCAGGGAAGTTTTCCGGCACCTCGCGGGTTGATAAGTTATTCGCCTCTTCCCTCGGAAGAACGCGATCACTTGCTCTCTTGGTTAGGGATTTCTTATAGGCCTTATCAAGAGCTTTTTTCGCTCTAGTAAATCTTTCCCCTTCCCAACTAAGTCTCTTGACCTTGTAGCAAGTGACTTTCATTCCTCCATTTTCATCACTTTCTCCGTCGCTATCTTCACTCGACATTGCATCCTCTCGGAGAACTTCAGCCACCCTTCCAAGTTTTTGCTGATCCCATCTAACCATTTCCAAAGCCATAGTTCTTCTAGTGAGCTTCTGTAATAAAGCATATTTTACTTTATTAGTTAAATCAGAAAAAAAATTTCAGTAAGTGATTTTTTTTTGTCTTTTTGTGCATATGCTTGAGGTGACTTGTAATGTATCTTTAGATTTTGATCACAGCCCATGGAATTTTTTAAATTGTATTGTTGCGGTAGTCACATTCTAAAGAATATATTACATATATTGTAACCTACATCTCTTCTTCTGCCATTTTTTCTGCATGTCTTTTTGTGAGCCTCATACTTCCGCCCTACGATCTGTTTGTTTTTCTCGTATAGGGAGAGGAAATATCGTCGTAATACCGCTGTAGGAGTACAAACAAATAAAATTATAACATTTTATTACTAGAATGAAACAAAAAATTCAGTTATATATGTATATACATCTTAACAAACAAGCATGATTAATTTCTTTTTTTTTTTTCTTGAACATTTTAGGTTCTGCCAGGGTTGTCGGAGATAAAATCTTGAAGATATCGGGCATTCAGTATATACTGAGTAAATGGTTCTGCGGTTTTATATTTCAGTAATTTAAAGCAGTTGGTGAAGAAATGGAGAAAAATGGGGGGTATATAATGGTATCTTTGCATCTCCGACCCCGGGTTTCTGGGACTAGCATTTCGGAATGTTTCTCTTACTTTCTATTTGTTCTTTACACCAAGGGCTTTTCTCTTGTCCGCCATACTGGTGGTAAACCTCAGTCACAACTCGACCAACTATGTTGATATTGTTGTCAGAGTCAACGCTACAAAGAGACGAATCATTGCGACTGCCTGTGTTATTGAAAGAGAAGTAAGGCTGTAATGAAGTTTAAAATTTTTATTACCTTTCGTCTAGGTAAAATCCTGAAAAATCATCTTTTTTAGCAAAGTGTTGTATGACTTCTTAGTGACTCTCTAAAAAAAAGAAAAAACGTATAAGGTCAGAAGACTGGATTCTGGTAAAGCCACGTACTCATATCCCGCCAAATTTTAAATTATGCAAAAATTATTTTGCCCGCCATTTTTTTCCGCCAAAGGGTTGTATTTTTTTATCACCATATCAGATACATGGAAAGATCGTAAGTCTAGTTCTCTGCATTTCTATTATACATGTATGCACATTAACAATTATATACAACGCCTTTTAATTCATATCAAAGGAATAAGAAGCATACTTACCCTGCATTGTGCCGGAACATTTCCACGGCGTTCCCGAGCTGCTTGACGACGTGCCTCTCTAGGTGAGCACCGTGCAGTGCGTACAGTTTGTACATTTGTACGATTACTAAGCTGACTGCTTAGATCTGCAAGGGCTTTTTTGTTCTCCTCATCTCTCTTCTTTAGGTCATTTCTTATTTCTTTGTTTTCTTCGCGGAGAGTTTTGTTTGCTTGGGAGATCTCCTCCAAAATTACGAGAATCTCGTCTCTTCCTTCATCTAAATTAGCAGCCATAGCAAAAACTGAATATATATATCGCCTAAAATTATGGGAATATACTAATAAAAAATTTACGAATAAGGAACGAAAAGCAATAACTAGAGGTGAGTATCTGTTCTCAACGAGCCCGAGGCAATTGTGTATAGGATTGATTCAGTGAAGATACATACATGTAATGTGGACAGTGTATGTGTAGTATCATAACTAGATCTGATAAGATTAAACTTCTTGACCAATTGTATCGTTTTGAACGCTGTTTTCGCGTGTCCAGCCCGTTTTACGATGACCTTTGGAGTGAAACATAATACTACTTCTTGTATTTCATGTTGATAGTGTTTAGAATTTGGCGCGAATATAACTTATAGTCCCGCCAAAACCTCTACATGGCCCAAAGTCTTGGGCATCCGTTTGTGTTTTCATCTGGTATGCCGGCTGAATGGAATCCTTTAGAGTGAATATGAATTCATCAAAGACAGATAGGGTTGCTGTTAGTAGGCATGGTCAAGTTAATGCGCCTCAACGGTGCTTATTAACAGAACGTGCGAGTGTTATATCGCTTGCTGACGATCGGTCTTGCCAAAAGCAGTTTCCAGCTTATGCTAAAATATTAACCAAGCAAAAGAAATCCAGGGGCCTAGAGCAGCTTCGTAAAAAGAGAATTCGAAGAAACCTTAATAAGCGTGCTAAACTGAGGAATATGACTCGAAAGGAAAGAAATGAAATATATTCCAAACAGTGCAATGATCTTCGAGATCAGTTGCGGGCAACACAAGAAGAACACAAAAAGGAAACAAGGTTATCCGCATTTTGCTGGCGTCGATGGAAAGAAGAAAGACAAACGAGTCTTAGACTATACAGGTATTTCATCATAAGCTTAACGCGGCGAATATAATTAGTATTTGAGTAAAATATCCTAATCCCTTTATTAATTTTACTACCTGAATTATTTAGAGCACCAAGGAAGATAAATCGCATGAACTTGCATAGGAGTGACGAATTATCGCCAGCGGACATTCTTGGTAAAGGTGCATTTGGAACCTGTGAGAAGATGGATTACAGAGGGATTGCTGTGGCGGTTAAAACTTATGAAGGCCGTGTCAAGGCCAGTGCCATTTCTACTGAAGCCAGCATCTTGGCACTGTTTGACCACAAAGGTAAAGTCTGTTCATATAATTCAACCATGAAGATATATATTTATCATAAGCGCTTGATATTCCTAAGCATAAAAACTAATTTGATATGTGTAGCGTCATAGCCATTTCATATATTTTTTGCTGAAAGTTTGGACTTGTACTGAACAATAACTGAATTATTTGGTCATCACGACATGAAACTTGAGATCATCAAATTGTTATTCTCCCTTAGGTTTGCCTTTGTTGTTTGGTGTTTGTTTACAAGAGAAGCCATTCTTGCTGATTACCCAGTTCCATGGTATTGATGGGAAGTGTGTGACAATGTCCAAAGCTGCTAAAACAGCTTGTGTCCAGACATCACAAGAGTGGACAAGAATTTTTAAAGAATTGGGTGAAGCATTGTCATATGTCCATGGAAAACACATTCTACATAATGACATAAAAGGTGACAACGTTTTATTAACTCGTCTAACTCACGACTCCCAATTACATCCCATTTTAATAGATTTTGGTAAAGCTCGTAAGACCAATAATGCAAAGAAGTATTCCCTTACGCTTCAAGAACAAAAAAAGTACCACAAAAATCATTGCCACATTGCTCCGGAACTCATACGTGGCACACACGCACAGTCATTTGCTTCTGATGTTTACTCACTAGGAATTCTTATGTCAAGTGTTTGTAAATCAATATGTGTTAAGGCTGACATGATTTACTCTGTTGCATTACAATGCACTCATTTTAACTCCAAGGAGAGACCAACATTGCCAAATATTATAAATAAATTTGAGACTGTGAAATGATGATGAATTTGTAAAAATGATCATAAGGCTAAGAAATTAGAAATTAGATAAGATTATTAAACGTTTTCGACTCACGGTCATCATCTGAATCAAATTCATTCAGATGATGACTATAATTTATCCAGATGTTGACCTATGAGTCGAAAACGTTTAATAATCTTTTCTAATTTCTAATTTCTTAGCCTTAGAGCGCAAGCAATATATCCGTGAAGTACAATTTACTAAATAGTACAAAATAGTGCTAATCATACAATAGAAAACAATATAATTTGTATAAAATTGTACTATTTAGTAAAACTAATTTTTCACGGATATACTGTTTGCACTCTATGATCATTCTTACGAATTTGAGACTAAGTAATACTTGTGAGTTATTCCCCTGAGGTTCTATTTGAACGGCGAGTTGAAAAACTGAGGCACAACTGACTCGCAGCTATCTTACTTCACGCTATCAAGTCGTCAGAATCCAAACTGCAGTCTCAGACCGTTTGCCTATGACCTGTGGTGTACCACAGGGAAGTATCTTGGGACCATTGCTTTTTAGCATATATATAAACGATCTCCCAAGCGTTCCTGAACATTGTACTACTCAATGTTACGTTGACGACACCAAATTGTTGCTTACTTTCAATCTCCAGGACCAGCAATATATTGTTTCAAGACTTAATCAAGACCTTT